ATTGTGTTCATTTTTATCATTTGTCTCATTTTAAAAATTTTGTATAAATTGCTCTTTAATTTAACGTATGTAAACTATTTACATGATTTCAAAGCCAACTCTGGAAAACAAGTATTTACAGAAGCCTAGCTTTTCCCACTTCCCTCTACTTCATTGCCTTGTTTAATTTATAGGTAACCTTAAAACACTAAATTATTGTTTCTTTTTCTATTCTCCTTAAACATAAGCAGATGTGTATATATGCTACTTTTTTCTTAGCTAAACATTGTATATAATTTTCTCCACCAGCCTTCTTGACCTATCCTATCATGCTATTATCTCTGTGGAAAAATACATTTGCGTTTAGACTAACTGGATAACAAACATGTTTTCTTAAAAAAACAGCCTCTTTATAACACAGCATTCACATCAACTTTTTATCAATAATTCACTCATTCTAGAAATATTTCCTGAATCACCACAATGGACCCAGGGGTAGTTTCAGGTTTTATGGAGCCTAAAGCTCCTCTAATATTGGGGCTTCTCTTTAATAAAAAGAATATAAAATTATTAATATGCTCTACAACTCCTAGCAGCTCCCAGCCAATAACCGGGCATGCCAGGGGCTCGTGTAAGCTTCGCTAGCTTCATGAGAAATTAGCCCCAGCATGGGCCTGTGCTAGGGACTGTGCGAGAGCTGGAGCACAAAGCAAATACGATGTCTTGTTTTATAGAGCCTGTGGTGTGGTGCAGGAGAGAGAGACAAACACATAAACTTGAAAAAAATACAATTACAAATTATAATTAAATCCATGCTATGGGCTGAATTGCATCCCCCAAAATTCACATGTTGAAGGCCTAACTATCCTTCAGTATCTCAGAATGTGACTATTTGGAGAGAGGGCCTTTAAAGAAGTAACTAAGTTAAAGTGAGGTCATTAGGGTGGGCCTTAATCCAATATAACTGGTGTAGTCACTATATAAGAAGAGATTACTACAACACATCCATACAGAAGGTAGACCACGTGAGGACACAGGGAGAAGACTGGCCATCTACAAGTCTAGGAGAGAGGCCTCAGAAGAAACCAACCCTACAGACACCTTGATCTTGGATGTGTAGCCTCCAGAATGGTGAGAAAATATATTTCAGTTGTTTAAACCACCGAGTCAGACTGTGTAGTTTAACCCTAGCAGACAAATATAATCCACTAAAAGAAAAGAGTGTTTCAGAGAAAGCACTGTTGAAGGAATGGTGAGGGTGCTGGTCAGAGAAGGCATCTCTGAGGAAGTGCATATAAGCTAAGATTTGAAAAGACTGAAAATGATCAACTATGGGAAACAAACAGACAGCAGATCCTGGCTTTAAAAGGCAAAAAGAGATCAAGGTGCTTTTGCTTTGGTTAATTATCCTGTAGTCTGCAGAACTAGGTAAGTCCTTCAGAGACAGTCTTTGTATAATAATTAACTATCTACGATGAAAAGCTCATGTGCAGCCAACTTCTTCACAGTCCACAGACTCTAAAGTATTAAATGAGCATGAAGTTGAATTTTTAATTGTAAGACAAAATGTATTTCATATCATTCACTCCCTGATTTAATGACAAGACATTTCTGAAGAAAATGAATGTTATGAAATAATGTAGCTCAAACACTTCTTAGAAAAAGAATAAAAGGAAGTAATGTCCTTCCTCATGGCTCATTAAAGAGATTATGGAAATTATACAACCTGAATATGCAAAACAAAAAGCAAGAAGCACAGACTGATTAGTCAAGGATAATGCCTCAGATAGAGTAGTGATATGCCTGAATAAAGTGATTCTCTTTGGTAAGCGACTGTATCCATCCTCTCATCTTAACTCAGTAAATAATAATTATTTAATCATAGGATAAACGAGGGATTTCCTTATTTCTTGGTGGGATGCCACATAAACTACTTTTTTTTTTCTCAAAGTTTTTTTTAATTTAATTTAATTTTTTTTATTGTTAGTTTCAGGTGTACAGAACAATGCAATAGTTACCCTTTTCACCCTCACAAAGTAACAACCCCTCCTCCCCCATCT